TTTAGACCAGACCTTAGTGTAGATAGATTTAACAAACCCGTCAGGTAAACACAACAAGCGTGGATTCCATCGAGTACGATGGACGTGAGGGGTGCTAATACCTTCCCCTTGCGTAACCGACTCCCGAATCCAGACAATGGTTGCGACGACCTTGTCTTATACCTTTTCGTCAGGTTTTTCCGATCGTTTCCTTTCTCGTTCTGAGGGATAAATAACGAAAGGTGGCGACTCTTCTGTTTTGCCGGCACCTTATTTTCGCAGTAGCGACAGTAACAAGGATGTCTGCTAAACCTAATATTTTTGGATATAAATAACATTTTCATTTCTAAAGAAAAAAGGAGAAGAAGTTTTAACACTCAAAACCTAAGGCGGCCACCAAGTGAACCCTAATCAGGGTCTTGTTTGAGTCATAACAACAACAGAACAACAAGAGGAATAAGAAGGAGAGGAAGGAAAAACTAAAATACCTGTGTGTGGAAACTTCGAGGGTGAGTCTCTTTTACGTTTTGGAATCCTCGTTTTTGTACCATTCTTTGCTGTGGTTGTTTCACTTCACTGCTTTTCGCCTTTAGAAGTATCGTAGGTCTTTTTCTTTTCTTTTTTTCGAGGATTTTTGGGTTTATGGTTTTGAAAAGGGGAGGCTCGATCCTGTCGATTCATTAGGTTTTGGTTGAAATTGATGGCGTATTTGGATTCAGGAGGTGCTTTTAAGGGGGGTTAGTGTTTGATTTAGGGCAGGACGAGCCATCTTTGTTGGAGAAGGTGGCGGTTTCCGCTGCGGCTCACCTTCTCCGGCGAGCTTTTGGGGTTTTCCGTTGAGGTTTTTTTTTAGACTATTGGAGATGGAATGAGGATAGAAAGTGTGAAATATGGATTGAGTTTTTGAGGCGTTTTTTCCTCTAGTTTTACTTTCATTACTCTCATTATGGTCGGTGGCTTATGGAGGTGGTGACATGCGTCACCGTCTAGAGGGTCTTGTGGTATCCTGTGCCACCTTGCGTTAGATGCACTATGCATGCGCGTTGATCTTCACCATATGATTATTTGACCAGGTCGGATCTTGTGATCTGACGATCGTGATCGTTTCATTGGTAATCAACCTTGATTAGCTCAGTCTACACCAAATCCATTAGCCTGGAGCCCTTTAGACTCATGGGTCTACTTCTTTTATTATTTACACCTCTTGTTTCAGCTTCATAACAGACTCATTGGTTTTGTTTTCTTTTAAGTTTTTTTCTCTTTTTTTTTTAATTATTTATTATTATCATGCTCTCTCTCTCTCTCTCTCTCTCTCTCTCTCTCTCTCTCTCTCTCTCTATATATATATATATATATATATATATATATATATATATATATATATATATATATATATATATATATATATATATATATATATATATATATATATATATATATATATATATATATATATATATATATATATATATATATATATATATATATATATAAATAAAAACTCTCTCTCTCTCTCTCTATATATATATATATATATATATATATATATATATATAAATAAAAACTCTCTCTCTCTCTCTCTCTCTATATATATATATATATATATATTTAAATATAAACTCTCTCTCTCTCTCTCTCTCTCTCTATATATATATATATATATATATATATATATATATATATATATATATATATATATATATATATATATATATATATATATATATATATATATATATATATATATATATATATATATATATATATATATATATATATATATATATATATATATATATATATATATATATATATATATATATATATATATATATATATATAAAAGACAAAAAATTAAAAATTATATTATTATTATTATTTATCTTAAGAATATTTATTTAATATTAACTAATTAAAATTAATTTTATTTAGTATCCATATTTAGTTTAATTAATAACTTTTGTACATATTTTTGTGTGATTTAGTATGTGATTTCTAACCAATTATCTTGACTATGTCTTACTCATATCTTGCGCTCATGTAGTAACAATGTTGTATATCCTATTCCCACTTATTCAAACTTTTTTTAAAAAAAATAACTCTCGATTCACATCGAGCCATCTTTCATCCTGTAAGCCGATTGCTTTTTAAGCATTGTCATCAACCTTTTGATCACTATACACAACATTCATAGCTTACCCCTGAACTTTCTTACAGTGAGACATTTTCGATCAATTACCTCTAGTTGGTCGTTTAGAAAACTACTTCAGTCTGCTAGTACACGCGATTAAAATTCAATTTGTTTGTTTTCTTTTACTTTTCTTTGCTTGTTCATTCATATGATGATTGAATTCTAAACTCTAAAGCTCTTGATCTGTATATCAAGCCCTTCCCACTCTTGTAAGTCGAGCGTTTTTGCCTTTCCATCGACCTTGCCTTATATCATTAGGACCTCCTTACCATCTAGTTCAAACCATTAGCTTTTTCGTACGCAAATTTAAAACTCGATCAACATCGAGCATTTTCTCATATTCAAATCAATTAACTTAGTTATGCTTAGACTATATTTCAATAAAAGATGAAAAGGGAGTTAGAATGGAATTTTCAATTTCTCTCCTCAATTGTTTGGCCCCGAGGAGTATTTCTTAAGTTCAAATAATTGTCTTCTCCAAGTTTCATAACTCATTAAATCTATTTTCTCAAATACTTGATGAAAAAGAGAGAGAGTCGGATCTTCGATTCACTTTCTCGATTACTTGGGCCCGAGGGGCCTTTCTTAAGCTTCAATTAATCGTCATCCGTTTAAAATACTCTAGTTATAACAAAACTCTTTCATAATATAAGATGAAAAAGAGAGAGAGACTCAAGTCTTTGGCTCACACCTAATTACTTGGGCCCGAGGAGCCTTTCTTAAACTTCAAATAATCGTCATTCACTTAAAATACTCTAGCCATATCAAACCTATTTTCTCAATACTAAGATGAAAATGAGAGAGAATCAAGCCTTTGACTCATTCTCCCAATTACTTGGGCCCCAATAGCCTTTCTTAAACTTCAAGTAATCTTCATCCGATTTAAAATACTTTAACTATCTTCCATCATTCAAAACACTTTCCAAACACAACCTCTTTTCGAGATGAAAAAGAGATAGAGTCAAGTCTTTGACCCACTCTCTCAATTACTTAGGCCCGAGGAGCCTTTCTTAAGCTTCAAGTAATCGTCATCAAATCAAAACCATTAACATTAGTTCAATTTCTCGCTGCCGTGCGAACCGTCAAACCTTTTCATAAATGTGAGATATGGTGTCTTGAGACGACGCAAAATATTGCTTCATCCGTGACCTATTTGAGTCGAGATAAGTGTCGTGTTTCCCATGAACGTTGATATATGAAAATTCATTCAAAGTGATGCAAGCGTCCTCTCCTCGCCCGTTTGGGTAAAGCAATATTTTTTGTCAAAGACGACTAAGTATTTTTCGATAAAATCAAACCAATATCTGTAGTCCAAACTACGGACGCTCTGATTTCTCATTTGTCAATGAGAATACGTAGGCATAGGATTTCGAGATCCTAGCGAGTAACCTTCTTCTCTTTTCTCCCGTAGTCTTACGAACTACGGATGCTCTGATTTTTCACTTCTTACAAATAAATATACGTAGGCACAAGGACCCTAATCCTTGGCGAGCACCCTAATCTAAAACCAATCCCTTTCCCCTTTAGAAATCCAAACCCTATTACCTTACCTTTTCGCTTTATTCCCTTAGAAGAAAACTAACAAACTAAGTTAACGTTTCTCACGAATCGAATTAAGAGGTTTCCGTTTAGTACAACGGATGTGAAGGGTGCTAATACCTTCCCCTTGCGTAACCGACTTCCGAACTTAGAATGTGGTTGTGATGACCATGTTCTTTCCTTAAAGGTTTTCTCGATATTTTCCTATTCTATCTTGGAATGAATAAAGTTCAGTGGCGACTCTGTTTCCGCGACCATTCGCGAAGGATCGTGCTTTTTTCGAGGTACGACACTAACATTTGACTGTTCAGAATTTCAAGATAAAATCTGAGTTAAGAGATATCTACTTCGTACTGAAGATGCAAATTTGGGTAATTTTTTTAGTTTTTCTTATTCTTATTTATAAGATAGTTTGCTTTGTGATTTGCAGTTTTAAGCACTAATTTGTAAATCACTTTAAAATTCTCTTATACACTTAATTGATTACAGTGGAGTTTTTTTTGCTAGACGATTCGTGATTTTTTCTCTCATATTAAAAGATTTTCTACGTTTAAATATCAGTGTTCTTTTGTATCTTTATTTGTTCGATCTACCATCTTATATTTCTTGTTGATCCTCAAGGTCCTTACAAATATAAGAAATTTTATATTTGCTACCTATTAACGTGTTATTCTATCTTAACTTCCCATAAAAACAAGATTATTTTCATTTTTTATATATTTATCTCTATTCTCTTCATAAAACAAATGTTTAACTTCAACTTTATCCGTGGCATGTAGTGTAATGCTACAAGTCTTCCTAAATGCATCAAGTTTAAAATCCTTAAAAAATATCCGCCTTTGTAAAGATTGGTACAGAACATTTTGCCAAATTTGCTTTTGGAATGTTGCAATCTATAGATAATTGAGTTTTTCTTTATAACATAAAATGAATCAATTGGTTCACCAAAGTGATGATTGGTGTCAAATCCTATTAAGTAACGTCAGTATGAAAAACCATTTGAGAATATAAATCTGAGGTTAGTTATTTGTTACAGTGACTTGAAGAATATCTTCTTCTCCATCATATCAATATTAGGTTGAAAAATGCTAAAAAAAACATCATGTCAATGTTGTTTCTGTCCAATCCTTCAACTAGCTGTAACTAACCATAATACAGTAAGATAATGAAACAAAGAGTTTAACAAGCTACAACATATTTCTACACCAAGCAAAATTACTACACTTTTTTTTTCTTGTCTTCAAAACTAGCTAGGTCAAAACATAGAAATGAGTTTTTTTTCTTCATAAACTTAAGGAGTTTGAGGCTTAATAGGATTGCCAATGCTATTATGATGAAGTGGATCTGGTCCTGTAGGAACCTTCCTCAACTCTTCAGTCACTTTTTCACTTTTCTTCATCTTTCTTAAAGATCCTTCAACACTAACCTTCTTATACTTCAAACTAGACATCATCTGCACAAAAACAGAAAAACCCTATTATTATTTTCTTGCACTACATAATAACAATAATATGTTTTATATATATGCTAGAAGCCTAAAATATTGTGACAAACCTTCCTGTTATGACTAAGTTTGAGACTTCCTCCATTAGCATCAAAGCATGCATATGCAGAATTACAACCTACAAATAGAAAAAAAAAATATTATGTATATAATGTATGTATTTTCTTAACAACTACAGAAAAACCAAGAAAATTAAATTTTACATACCAGAAGTCTCACTCATGAGAAGCAAGAAGAAAAGAACAAGTAAAATGACAGAAGTAGGAATGAGTTTTGAAGCCATAATAACAATATTGAAGAGAAGTTAAACTTAATTTGCATGCAGATAAAGAAGAAGGAGACACGTATTTATAGTGGTAAGAGTTTTAATATGAATGATGGAAGGTGCAGCCATTTGGAAAAAACAAATGATTAAAGACACTAATGAGGAAGCAAAATATGTACTTTTTCACTGCTATATAGCTGTGTATATATCTATATGTGACAGAGCCGTCTTATTTGTATCGTTGTCGAGAATCATTTGGCTGCTGATACTGACAAATGCAAATATATCTTAAAAAATATGATATCAAAGGTGATAAATGAACTAAAAAAAGTAGAAAAGATAAAAGGATATGATTTTATATCTTGATTTTGATTTGGAATGTCAGATAGAAGCATCAACATACGTCATGTTTCCCTCTGAGTGTCTACAAACTCTTTTTGGGGCCATCCTATTTCTGATTCTATCTGTGGTACGATCTGTTAACATGATTCACTTTTGTTTTGCATATCCAATTTTTAAGATTTAAAGCACGAATGAATTATATATTCGGTTTGAAAGTCTTAGTCTATTTTTCTATTGAGATATGTTTGAGACACCATTTTAATACAAATACATATTGTTCACCTTATTTATATAACAGGTTTATTATTCCTACACCACATTATACACCAAATATATATATTAACCGTGTTTTTTTAAATAAAATAATATTTTTATAAACAGTATATGAACAATGCATAAACAGTATCTATGAACAGTATACGTGAACAATATCTGTGAACAATAGTTTAAAGTAGTGAAATAAAGCTAGTTAATGAAATGTAAAAAATTGGTTAATGAAGTGACGAAGTTGGTTAATAAACGCTCCGAGTTAAAAATATTTTTAATAGTAAACCAAAGTCGGTTAATGAGAAGTAAAAAGTTGATTAATGAATATATGAATATTATTTAATTTAAAAATTTTAAAAAAAAATTTAAAAATTAATTTTTTACGTATTTACTGTTCACCATATTGGTGAACAGTGAAATACGGTGTAGGTGTAGGATTTGGTGTAAAAATAACATTTTTCTTTATATAATTAGTGTTTTTTAAATAATAATAATGATAATAATAATAATAATTGCTATAAAATATAAAAGTAAAGAGAAAAGGAAGGAATATACTAAATTTATTTTGGTTCATTCAACAATCAAAGATAGCACCATGTGATTTTTTAGTATCTGAACTTGACGGCTGATTAGAATCTGGAGCGGGTCAGAGACAAACGCCTATGATGCTGAGTATGAGAGAGGAGGAAGGAGTGTACTTGCAAGTTACTTTGATGTTAAAGTAAGAATCGGGCAAGAGAGAGAGCTAATACAGAATATAAGTATATCAGGGTGAATATTAGATATCTAACCCTCTTAAGTGAGAGGGTTTTTATAGTGCCCCCGACGCTTGGCCATTGGTCCCTATTTTCGGAACGAGACAACTGTTTTCCGAAGAATAGGTAATTGTAAGAGCTAGTCGTTGGAACAGGCAGGGGTGCCCATAACTCGCTGTTGCTATGGGCAAGTGTGCAGTTACGTGCCCAAGTGTATTGTTTGTTTCTGGATGGTGGAACCGTGTGTGACGGGAAAGGACTTCTGAGGAGAAGCGTTGTAACCAAGGGTAAATTAGTCAGTCTCCCTTGTTGGAGGGGCAAAAAGGTAAATGCTCCCCCAAATTGGGTGGACTTAGGCAATTGGGCCGTTCTAGGAGCAGAAGTGGATTGGGCCATGCCTAGTCATTGGGTCAGTCCGGAACAGTATCAATTAAGCTTTTAACATAAATTCAATGGTTCAATTTGCAAGCATTATACTTCAAGAAAATAACACTCTAAGTTTTATAATTATAGATTATAATTGTTAGAAATTGTAATTTGATGTTTTGTCAAAATTTAACATTCGAGTCTGTCAAAGTAGTTAGTTAGATGTGTATGAGTAAGTTGTATTCGACATAATCAAATACAACATATAGTTGTTATGTCAAAATGTAACTTATTATTTTGTACGTTGCATTTTGTATGTTTTGGACTTGGATCGCTTTGTATAGTTTTATATATGGGCTTTTAGTTGTCTATATAAGGTATTGTTTCATGTAAATCAATAACAACTTCACTCAATACAAATTCTAATTTTCACAATTCAATTTATATCTCTTTTCTCTCTTCTTCCTTTTCTCTCTTCTTCCTTTTCTCTCATCTTTCTTGAAAACCATTTGTTCCAACAAATTGGTATTAGGAAGTCCGAGTTGTGGTTCAGAGAGAATGTGTAATGGAAAACAGAAACACAACATTAATGCAATTTCCAACGAATCTACAAGTTTTCAAAGGAGAGAACCATGAACGATGGATTGTGCATATGTAGGTCATCTTCCGATTTCAATATGTTTATGAAATCATGAATCATGAAGTATCGACATTGGAAGCGAATGCATATGATGTTCAGAAAGCTACACATAAGGATCAAAGGAAGAAAGATGAAAAATGTATATTTATTGTTCACCAGTGTGTGGATCCTAATGTGTTCGAAAATATAATTGAAGAAGAAACGACTAAAGTAATGTGAGACAAGTTGAAGAGCTTGTACGGGGAAGATGAAAAGCCAAAAAGGATGAAGTTACAGATGTTAAGAAAGCAATTCGAGATGACTAAGATGAAGGAATATTAATCAGTATCAGAATACCTTTCACGTGTGGTGTTGTTAACAAACCATATGAAGGCGTGTGGTGAATCAATCAATGATTTGTAGAAGATTGAGAAAATGTTAAGATCTCTAACTGTGAATTTTTATTAAATTGTAGTGTCAATTGAAGAGTCCAACCTAGCTGAGATGAATTTGGAAGAACATCATGCTTCATTAGAGGCTCATGAGATGAGGCTGAAGTAGAGGAACTCAGAATGGGAGAATGTGGCAGAACATGCAATACAAGAAAGATTCATTAAGAATTCTGGAAAAGAGAAGGCGAAATATAGAAATAATCTTGCTAATGATGAAAAGTCAAGCAAAAACTCAAAGAATCATCCTGATTCGATCAAAAAAGGCATGTGTAATAAGTATTATGATAAGAAAGTTGACATAAAGGAGTTTCAATGTTACAACTGTCAAGGATTTGATCATTATACTCGAGACCGTCGAAGAAAGAAGGAATCATGGGCGAAAGATAACGATGAAGTGTAGTATGCACATCCTGAAGATAGTGATTCTGAGGATGTGCTACTCATGGCCAACACTCATTCGAACACTAAGTAAACCAACATGTAGTACCTGAATTTAGGATGCAGTAACTACATGATTGGTAATTAAAACTGTTTCACCAAGCTAGATGAATCAATTGAGAAAGTGATAAATGTTGCATATGGTAAGCACATCACATCTGGTAGAAAACGAGATATCTCTGTTGTTAGAAAGGATGGTCGAAAAGACAACATCACTAATATGTTGTATGTACCTTCGATGACAAGTAACTTGATAAGCGTAGGGCAATTACTTGCAAAAGGGTACAACATGAAGCTGGAAGATAATAAGATGAATGTGTATCATGGTGGTGTAAGGTTGATTCTGAAGGCACCATTGGCAGACAATATGACCTTCAAATAGAGATCAACCTAGTTGATCACAAGTGTCTTGCTTCAACTTTCAGAAGAAGAGAAGAATTGATTATGGCATCACAAGTATGGACATCTAAACTTTATAAGTTTGGGTATGTTCAACCAAAAGAAAATGGTGTATGTCTTACCTCAAGTGAAAGAACCAATTCAGGTATGTGAGGAATGTTGCAAAGTAAAGTAGACTAAGAAAGCACTCAAACATGACTTTTCCATGAGGTTGAAGAAAAATATAGAGCTCATTCACTCTGATGTGTGTAGACCATTTGAAGTGAGATCGAATGGAGGTAACTACTACTTCTTAATCTTCATAGATGAATTCACCAGATATATGTGGATTTACCTTGTTGAAAGGAAGAGTTAGATATTCACACAGTTCAAGAAATTCAAATTGCTTGTCGAGAAGCTAAGTGAATGCTAGTTAAAGAAATGAGAACTTATGATGGTGGTGAATACACTTCTCAAAATTTTGGTAGATTTTGCTATGAGGCCTTATACACGTGTAGCAGTTTCGAAGTATAATGCACCTTATACACCTCAGCATAATGGCATAGTTGGGAGGAAGATCGAAGTATAATGAACATGATTATTACCATGTTGAAAGCTAAAGATATTCCAAAGAGACTTTGGGGTGAAGCAGTTTCGATAACAACATACATTCTAAACAGATGTCTAACTAAGAATATTGTCGAGAGGACTCCTTATGAGGCTTGGACAGGTGTGAAGTCAAATGTTAGTCATCTTATAGTGTTTGGATCAATATGTTTTAGGCATGTACCTGAATAATTGAGGAAGATACTAGATGATGGAATTCAGGCTATAATACTCATAGGTTATCATTCAACTGGTGCATACAAGTTGTATTCACCAAGTGATGATAACCTTGTGATCACTCGAAATGTTCTAGTGGATAAAGCAAAGGATGAGATTGGAGTCATGAGTTAGTTCGACAAGAGTCAGATACAATTACAACTATGTTTAAAGAAGACCAACAAACTGAAGTCCCAACCAACCGAAATAAAGTACCACCTGAGCAGAATGTTAAAAGATCGACTAAATCAAAAAATGAGTCGACAAAGCTAACTGAATATGAGAGTTTTTTAAACCAGACAGTCGATGCTAAACATTTTATTAAATTATAACTTTTGAAAAGCAAACGTTTTTAAAAATTGATTTTATTAAAAACAGTTTATTCAAGGCTCCTTCTAAACCATTTGATTACCATATTATCCCGTAACATACTTTGATGTCAAGGTTTGATAGAGAATGAACAAGTAGTAGTAAATAAGTGAGTTTGAGAATTAAATAAATATACTAATGGGATAAATACTCTTCATCTATATAGATTAGTTGTACTCGTATATTCTTTAACTAATTGCTTTATTGAGT